AAACCTCATAAAGTGAAATTTTCATGCCATGGGACCTTTAAAGAATATTCGAGGACAGACATGACCAGCTGGTGGATTTCAGTACTGATTGACTGACTGAAAGGCTGAACAATAATTATGTAATGGCACAGTATGTGTAGAAATATTGTGTTTTCCACATTATGGGTGTGTGCAACTTCCTCACATCACAGTTCATACAAATAATTCTGTTTTTTTTGTTGTTTTGTTTTTTCCCCATATGATCATATGTTGGTTTTAACTGTTAGTGCATTTTTTTAATAAACCTTTCACATAGCTATAGATTCATAGGGTAATATAAATTTATATTCATCGAGTAATATAAATATAAATCCATAAATCTGCAAAATTAAAAAAGCATTTTCTCACCCTTATATTGTTGCAAATTTGACTTATTTTATTAATTGGAAAACAAAACAGGATGTCCTGAGTGTTCTTGTTTATATATTGAAAGTGAATGGGAACTATCAAGTTGCAAAAATGACAAAAAGGATCACAAATGTGCCGTAACAGTAGTCCATGTGACCCATGCTCTATATTGTAAGTCTTCTGAAGCCACTGATAGCTTTGTTTGAGAAACGGACCAACATTTAGGATGTTACATGCTGTTACATAATTGCTCCTCTGCCGTAGTTTTAAATTTAAATTTTGTGTTAATGGTAAATCTTGTGCAATGTACTGTGTCTTGGCATCTTAACATAGCATATTTGAGTGTGTGGACACAAATGAGATTTGAGAGCTGCAAAGGAGGGAATATTTTTAGGCAAATAATGATTCTAATCTCAGTCTGTTATTCACACAAAGCTATTGTATGACGTCCAGAGGTGGCGTGTTATTTATTTCATGGTTTGTTTTAATATGGGCTTCACAAATTAATATAATCTTGATTCAATATAACAACACTTAAAGTTGTGAAGTAGCAACAGATATTTTGTGTCACAAGTGAGTTTGCGAGACTGTTTTGTGAATCTTTTTGACTCATTTAAAAAGACTGCTGCATAAGAGTAATTTGTTTGCGCACAGGAGACACGGGTATAATGACATAATATCTGACTAATATCTTTGAGAAGCGACAATATCTGTTGCATGGAAATAAGATGGGACTGCTATCGGCTATCCATGTGTTGTTTTGGTACTTCCCAAAAAAAAAAAAAAAGCCAAAGTACTGCTTCCCAATATCAGCGTAGATGCAGATTTTGGAGACTTTTGGAGTTAATTTGGACCACAAAGCTGCACTCTTCCATTCTTCACCTCATCTGCTGTGTTTTTCCTCTCTATCCATTCACCTGAAGCCAGACATTGGCATTTGAAATGGGGCTTTTCCCCCAGTTCAGTGTCTTGAAATCTCAGAAGCTGCCAAATGTGAGATTATGCTTGGCTTTTTGTGAAATCAGTTTTATCTTTGTGTGCTCAATGCAACCCCAATTTCAATCAGTGTGTGTGCTCAAGCATTTGAAAACGTCAGCCTGCATATCGGCAAGGCATAAAGTGTGCAGTACTGGGGTGAAGATGGGTGTGTGTCCCCTTTATCCACCCTGCTGAGAGCTGGTAATAAGCTTTCAAATGCAAATGATCCTCCCCGCTCTGTCCACCGAACACTGCAATGCATCACCTATTCGCCAGTTATTTTCTAGTGCTCAGAATGTATTTCTTTGACAACATGCCTCTATGACAACCGTGTCCAGAGAAATTAGGAAACCCAAAGCATGAAACATGATTTCAATATGCGATTGTACTTTGCAAGAGGCAGTTGAAGCTAAGCCATAACAGACTTATGACATACTCTGAAAGACCTTGTATACTCTGGCCTGGTTTAATGAACTAGCAGGAAGAGCTACAATTAAATGTTTTATTTGTTCAAAATTTCCCATCACGTTCAGTAAAGTATACCAAAATATTATGCTTTCTATGGAGTCAACATGACATATTATTGAATAGTAAAAGCTTGTTAGGCTTACAGCCAAATTTTCTCAGCTTAATAACCCAAACTTCACCTACATGGACTTAATGAATATGAGAACTGTCTGAGCGTTGTCTCTGATGGTTCATGCGTGAGTCAGGAACATTTGGGTCTCGGCTGGTCAAGGTTGTTCCTCTGCCGGATTTGGATCAGCGCCTCCAGATGAGACAGCTGACTTTATTTTCTGTAATTGAAAAGAGTTTGTGTGGGAGAGGAAGGGCTGGAAAACATGGGCCGTCAAGTCCAACTCTAATTAAGACAGGAGCTGCCATGGTGCTTTCCATTACACCAAACAGCTCCCTGGATGTGAGAACAGAAGCCGCATATAGCAGATTAGCTGACTTTAGAACAACCCGCGATGGTAAGAGACCATGCTGACGGTCTGTCAGTATTCCAAATAATAAGTGTCTTTTATTTATGTTTACATTTTCATTTTGTTTTCTCTTACAGAGGCGTTTGATTTTATTGGACAGATGTTGAAGTGAATATGACAGTTGTTGAAAATATGTTGAAAGCACTGTGGGTAGTGTTGCATATAATTGTGTTGTTCTCCGGCAAGATTTGCCACACAGAGCTTTGTGCTTAAGCATTTGAAAATGTCGGTCTGCATATTATTGGCAAAAAAGTAGTCATGATTAGCTACTGTATTTTTCCAGACCACAAGGTGGTGTCATTTCTCCTGAATGTCCTGAAAGGTAAAAAAAAAAAAAAATAGACATCAAAACCTTTTGCCAAACCAACATTAGTTGGATAAACAAACGTCTGCTTGCAAATAATGTAATCTTTATTATTGCTTACTCTGCAATATTTGCTCATAAATGTATGGTTTTTGTCTTGTTCTAATGTTCTTTATGGTGCTATATCTTGTTTGTATTGCATTTGGGTAATTACTTAATAAAAAGATAGTCAGAATATTTGAGCCTATTTTATATTAGAATGTGTAACTTAAAAATATGAGCTTCATAATTTCACAATATTCACATTCACCGTTGTTGAGGTAATGTCCAGAATATTGAATATCTTTGTGAT